GGCTTCAGAAACCTCCATGGTAGGCGGGACAGGAGCTAGGCTTTACCTGGCTGTCACTGGAGGGGAAGCATGAAGGCTGCATGTCACACCTCCAATGTTTCACACCTCTCAGGATCTCTGGCCACCTCCACCTCTGCAGCAGCTCCCATACCTGCCACACCTCCCCTTTCCAGCTAGCTGTCTTTGCAGCTCCTCCCTGAGCAGGACAACAGCGGCGGCAATTGATGGCACTGCTGTCTGCTGCTCTGTGACCCACCACCACACACCTGCTCAGCACGCTGTTATGTACCACTAAATGCTGCATGAGCCAACATCACAGGCACACAGCTGGTACCAGCCACCACTACTGCTGCTGCCGAAGGTGAGGATATCTGGCAAACAAAGAAAACACCCCAACATAAAGTCTGTGTGGTTGCCAGAATAAGAGAAAGCAGCACTGTAAAATGATTCCTCAGAACTCAAGGATCACTCACAGTCCCCAGCCTATGAATCAGTGGTGTGTTGCTCATGAATACAGATTTAGATGTCTCACCTCCACAAAAACACACTAGAAAAGTATGTAACATGTACAAGAGTTATATGAAGAGGGGCCCAAACCTCTCTTGAAATATCCCCTGCACAAACTCTGAGTACAAGATCATACCTTCAAAGTGTCCCAAACAATGACTAGGCTCCCAGCCAGATAAAAAGATGTGAAGAGAGGGGGAAAAAAGGTATTTTTTAAATCAGTCAGTTGAAAGAAGGAGGTGAAATCCTGGCCTCGATCAGACACAGTAGAATTCGGGCCTGTTGCCCAGTTTTAAGGCAGTCACCTTTCTCTGGTATGTCTATTTTGCCATGCAACAGTGCTGCAAACACCCTGTAGGCTCAGCTTCCTGACAGAGCATACTGCCAAAATCAATGGTGCTGGCTGAGTACCTCCATAGCTGCTTGTTGGAGAGGGGCACAAGGCGTCAGCCTTCTGCAGTTAAGGACAGTTTGTCAGCATGCAGGTGCTCAGTGCAGTGACAGCTCTGGAGTTCCCCAAGCTCACAGGCATGGCAAGCAAACAAAACAGCTACCCAGGAAAAGTACTATAGCACCCGCGCTCTCAGGAGTGGCTATGTTTGAATGAAAACATCCACATGACTATCAAAGGTAACTGCTCACACATTGTGTTTTAATCTAAGCAAGCTTTCGCTGGATACTACAGAAGCAGCATTCTCCCTTTGTTTGCCAGGCCACATGCCCAGAAATACAAAAGCCTGCCTTGAATTTGCTTACAACTTCTGTCTTTGCTAGTTTCACTTACTGCTTGACACTGCTCCATAGCACAAACAGTGCTCACTTCTAGTACACTAGCTGTTTTGCCAGCAGGCCTAAGGAGATCATGCCCCAAAAGGCACAGCTTCTTTTCAGATCCTTTTCTTTCACAGCACATGGAAAGGATCCAGTTTCATTTTATTTGTATTATAAAAAAGCAAGCAGCAGGAACAGATAAGCTCATAGTAATAAATATACTATGAAGATAAGGAAAAAAAAAATTGTGAAGAGTTAATGTATGCAGCAACTCGGCCAGCCTCGGAGGACTGGGAGACCTCTGCAGGCTCCAAAGGGAAGTCCTTTACCGCAATGAGGACTGATAGGAGTGGCTGAAGTTGCTCTCAGTATCTCATATGCATTAGTTTAATCTGTATTAAAGCCCTGGAAAGGGATGCCTCCACGGGCTGCAGCCACTATGACTCCTTCAACCACTGCAGCAGCTTTTAGCCAACCTTAAAATACATTTTCTGGTCTCTTGTGGAGAATAATTACCAGTCCCAGATACACGTACCTGCAACATCTACTTTCTTGCTTTTGCTTTTCTCTTTTCAGCTCAGCTCACAGAAGCAGCAAACTCTATGGCAGGCTCTCTTGTAAACACAGAGGGAAGAAATACCATGGCTACCTTCTAAAACCTGCACAGCAGCTGAACAGAACAGGTTAAGGAAACAGGTTAAAAGAGTGCATTTTCAGAGCACAGAAGTTCTCCTTCCTCAAAGAAGGTACCACTGCCTTCAAACATCCCATGCAGAAAGGCTCTTGGAGGGCACACAGCAAGCACTGACAAATGCCTTGCACCTTTGCAAAAAGCAACAGAAGAACTGTGGGCTGAGCACCTTAGAGGTACTGACTGCTGCTGGGCTGCAGGTGAGTACTGGGAGAAGTTCTTCAGCCACTCTTACTAATCCATTTCCTTCCCTTGCTCGGTTCACCTCTGAGATCCCAGAACTTGACCATACTGAGTCTCTTCTGTAAAAAGCCATTTTGAAGAGACAACGCTTCTGGCAGCACTGAGCACAGCAATGGGACTTGTTCCTGGTGCCACAGAGAAATCCAGGAACAGATGAGCTGTAAGATACCTGACACTATTGCAGATAGTATAAAAACAAGAGTTTTTTTCAAGGAAATCTGTCAATTTCTGGTTTTCTTAAGAGTGCTAATATTGCTATACCTCACAAAACTACTTTATAGATGCGAGTTCTTCACAGTTAAAACTCACAACTCCAAAATGTTTAACATGAAATCATAACGATAAAGAGTATATCACTCTAACACAGTTTGTTTACTTTTTCTGTATGGAGAAAAACTTCATTGCATTAACTGCATTTAAACAGTACAAGTGCCTGCTGAGGGGCTGGGAATAGTACTACTGAACTCCACTGCTACTACTAAAGCGGCACACCTTGGGTACACACTGCGATGGGGTGACTAAATCCTGGACACAACCTAGCTTAAGGAATCCCCCTGTTAGATCCAACTGTACACAGAGCACATTGCTTGTCTTTTTTCTTCCTCTCATGGTTACAGCACAGAAGGTTCTAGACACCAGTTCAGAATCCTGCTATAGACTTGACTCTGGATACAGCAAGGCCCTATTAGGGCTTCCAGAGGGTTGGTGCATCTCCCTGGGGTCTGTCGTCTCTAAGCAAAGTGGACTGGAACAGCTGAAGTGGGAGCTGGGGTCGAAGAAGGACAACACTGCAGACAGCCCAGCTTCTGAAAGTGTGGAGACTCTCACCCAGGAGGGGGGAGACAATGCAATATGCAGTCCCCGACTGCAGACACAATGGTGTCCCAGCACTGCAGTTCCTAATAAAATTTCTTTGCTTGCCAGAAGGGGAAGAAAAACCCACATCATTTCCATTTTTCATTTTTGCTTCCTTTTATGAACAGTTGCATCACACTGTCTTGCATTTGTGTGTAAGGGAGAGGGGAATGTAATTTGCTTCACCCCGAACAGAGGTACAATGCATTACGGTGCACCCCAACGTACTCCTGCAGTTGCCTAAGCCCTGGACTGACAGAAGGGAGACCTGTTCGGCCTCGGACTATGCTGCTCAGCACCAGCTGGATTGGCGGCTTGCTTCTTGCAGCTTGGGGATCCAGTGGCAGCTTGAAATCACTCTCACTGAATTAGTGCATGAACAAGTCTTTAAATACAGAATGGCTTAGGTATTTCTTATTATAAACAGTGTAAGTAACAGAACCCCTTTCTTTTTCCCTGCGTGGGGAAATTGGGCCAAAAAGATTAAGCTTAAAACACTATCAGGGACATGTATTGACCTTTAATGGCTAGATTTTAATGGTGTTTCTGTGGGCATATAAAGGTGTTACATGTTAAGTTAAACCCATGAGATGCCCAGGATACAGCTGACAGAAACCAGGAGCTCTGTCTCCAGGCTTCTGGGTGCGTTCCTGTTCTGCATCCCTTCCACGGGAAGGACACAGAACACAGACCCCACTCTACAGGAAGCAATATAACTCCCTGAACAAAAATAACAGCAGGTATACTTGCCTTTGTAAACCAAGAGCACCCTTCTTTGGGATACAGCAACTATGTCACAATATAACACAATAACCTACAGGTTTGTGTGCATATATATACATACATATATACCTACATATTTTATATATATATTTATGTTTTTATATGCACACATCCACAAACACAACCATTTAGGCACCTGCGTTTCATGCTCCAAAATAGCTGACTTATCTGGAAAACCTAACCCAAAAGGCTTTTTTTAACCCTAAACAGGCTACCTATTCATAACTGGAGCCATTCCACCATACACACATGGACACTTTCACAACCCTTTGATTTTTAAATTCCTTTGTTAAGTCCTGCCTTTATTTAGGTTATAAAACCTTTGTGGCACTAACTGCTTTTCTTTTTCGTAAGTGCCCAGTCCACTTCTGGCATCTACAAAATAAATCATGGAGATGGAGACACTGGTTCAGTGTTTCCAAAACCCTGAGCACAACCTCTTCCAGTGCAGTGCTTGAGAAAGGAAAAGGAAAAAGTATCACTCGCTGAAGTATCGCTTCGTATGGCTCACTGGAGATGCCTGCCTCAATCTGATAACAAGATTTCCTGTACCCCATACAAAGCTGGCAGAGATGCCTTAATATTGACAAGCACAAATTGCATGCTTGAGTTTTTGTTAATTGTTTATGGACTGAATAGCCAGCATTTCTTAAAGAAACAGAACAGAGATCTCAGGCCTCATTCACAAGCATTGTATGTCCTCTTTTTAATGGCCGCTCTTTAACTTTTATGAAAACTGCCTTTATTTGGATTTGCCACTCTCCCAGTAGCTTTAGCATTCAAAGTTTTTTTTTTAGTTTGGGAAAATCAGGTAAGGAAATGATCAGAAATACATAACAAATAAATAATTTTTTCCTGAGTCAAACCGAACAAAATAGAAGCAAAACAAGCTTAGTTTTTCAAACCATGAAAGGAACAGAAGTCAAGATTGGTTTAAAAACTGATCCTTAAGGCAGGAAAACGGACAGAGCTATATCAAAGACAACAGAGCCATGCTAATTTCCATCATTTTAAGAGCTACCTCACAGTTGTTTTTTGGGTTTGTTTTTGTTTTTTTTTTTAAAACATGCAGCTCCTCTTTCAAAATAAATATTAAAAACAAATAGGAAAGTCCTCATAACAACAGAAACAATAAAGCATCAGCACAAACCTGTGTTTCCTTGGATGTCCTCTCCCTTGGTTAACGCCAGGTAAGAGAGCAGAGCGCAGTTATTGTCCTGCCCAGGCGCAGGTGGCTGCTGCAGGGAGGTGCCCGTGAAGACCACTCCCCAGTTTACATGGCTGATATCAGAGCGTGACCTGTTGTGTCCTGGCTTGAATGTGGAGGCTTCCTCATTCTGCACCAGGATGTCGTTCACCGAGCGAGGCCTGTCTCTCCTCCGCTGGCACATATTGAAGATGTTAAAAGCTGCGGTCTCCCCTTCCCCTGCCCAAGCAAGGTTGTCAGCAGCTGTTCCCCTCTGCACCACGTGCTGGTCTTTGGCAGGGAATGCTGTCTGAGCTTTGGTTTCCAAGAGGCCATTTTTGCAGTGATCCCAGATGAGGCTACTTTTGGCTAAGGAGGCGACGTTCCTCAGATTCCTGCTCTCTGTTATCTGATCAAATACCTCGTGCCCAACCAGTTCGGGGACCTCCTGTACACCATACACCTCAGAGGGCTGCACAATCTTTTCAAGCTTAGTATCAAAACTATTGAAAAAGTCTTCAGTCACTTCCAAGGCAGGGCTAATGTCATCAACTTCAAGAGCCTCCATATCCCGTGCTGCCGGTGGGCCCAAGGCGTCGTGATGCGTTAAGAAGATACCACATCAATATCCAGAGAAACAGCTGCTTCACATCTGCCCTTGGCACACCATTAACTTAGAGATGGTGGGGCAAATACATTCACCAACCACAATCCTTAGTGGCAGAAAGGAACCACATCAACCCGTCTTCAGATGGGACACTTAACATCCGCTGATCAAGCGGGCTACAGTCCCTCTATGAAATAAGCTCATAGTGATGGAGAGCACCTGTAAAGCAAAGCGAAGCAAAACATCACGTCAGTAAGGGCCTTTTCCCAGATAAGTACGTTTAATCACATCACTCCTTTCACAGTCAGAGTCCCCTTGATTTTACTTTCTCCCTCCTTTGGCACCAACATTATTGTGTATGAAGAACCCCTTTGGGGTTTCTGTTGTTCACTGGGTGTGAAGTCTGTGTATTATCACTTCTTGAACTGGAACCTGCAGAGAGCAGGATGGAGCACCAGAAAAAAGGGGAACCAAAGTGATGCCATTTATTAACCAAGCTTTAGAAAGCTGCACTGAGAGGCGGTACTGAGTAACATCACACATGCAGCCACCTAGGGAATGTTTAGTACAGGTTCCCATGGGGCTGTAAGAAAAAGTTGAGGAAAAAAAGGGTTAGTAAAATAGGCCAACCAGCCTCAAATAGTTTGCCTTTTTCTCCCACTTTGCTTGCACTCCCAGTTTTAGGAGACCAACATGAGTTTTACAGCACCTACTTTGCCTACTTGTCTGCATAAACAGAACTGTGATATTTGCCTAATAAACCAAAGCTATTAGACTGCTGCGGAGCGCTGCACATAGAGTTTCTCTCTAGAACATCACTGGGAACCTAAGTGAAACCATGTGACAACCTAAGCACCAGAAAGACAAAGCATCCTACCAGCAAAACAAAATATACCATATCCTGCACCACCACAAATCTGCAGATCTTTATTTCCAAGCAGCTGACTCACTGGGCAAAACATAAGAATAGCAAAGGGCTTGAAGGCTAGAACTAGTGAAGAGCTGTATTGACCCACCTGAGCTCACGCCTATGAGGAGGAAGGAAGAGGGGTTTCTGTTCCCTGTGGCTCAATAAGAGGGTGTCTCATTGCTGACTTCTGTCTCACCAAGCCTGCTGCCTTCTAACCTCTCCCTCTTGAAGCTCCATCCACAGTGCCGCCATGCTCAAGGGAAGTGCACAGTAGGTATATTTAAATTGGGGAAATCGGTAAAATGCATGCAAGTTCTTGGGACCTGGAGACTGGGCATTTGTGCTAGCAGGAGAACAGCTCTCAACGACTGCTAGGAGAAGTCACAGTACCTACAGCCTGTGCACGCAGAACAGCCCAAAATCAGAGATCTACATCCCAGTTCTGACCAGATCAGCTCAAGTCCTAGAAGCAGCAAAGCTGCATTAGCTCAGAGCTCCGCCTAGATTAATACACTCTTAACAGAACTAATTAGCCTGGGCAGGGCTGATAATTAGCAGCTCATTTGCTTGTGAATGGTGCTGAAGTGCTACCAGGACCCATAAAGATTTACACTTAGCAGGAAAAAACATCTATTAAACAGCATCAAACACAGCTAATACTTCTATTTAAGGTTCTTTTTTTAATCCAGACAGTCTATTTGCTTAACTTATATTAGCAAAGTCGTTTAAATAGGCACCCTTTCCTACAGCAAGCCAGAGGGAGGAAGGAGGCCAGCAGCCCCCCAAGAAGGGGGCACAGAATCCTGTGGCACAAACCAACTCCCTCCAGAATCATCTGCTGGCTTCCTCCCATCCCTGCTTCAGTTGTGGCCAGGCATGATACAGTTGTGTTCGAAAGCAACAGTTCAGACAATGACCTCTGCAAACACACTCCAAGTAAATAATTTTCAAAAGCAGTAAATAATCACATACATAAATCTGGAAACTTCAAGCCTTTACACTGGGATCTTTCTCCCCTTATCTCTTTGCAAGGATTCACTTCGCTAGCCCCATAGTGAACCAGGACTAGGATCAGCTTCAACAAGTAAATGTGGAGTAAGACACCAAACGTAGAGCCAGAACAGCAACCAAAGGGCTGAACAAAACAGATCTGGAGTGGTTTCAAATCAGAACAGTATGGGAACAGACTCTTTGCAAAGCTATGCAACTGTGCCAGTTGATGGCAGTGGGAAATAAAGTCATCCTGGGCACATCTGCATCGTCAGCTTAATGCAGCATGGAGTCCGCTCTTGAAGCTCATTCCTGCCAGCAACCCCAGAACAGCGTTCTGCTCCCTGGTACCTTAGACCTTGGGAGCTCCAGGAACAGGCTAAGGGACATGATGTAGTGCAACGTGTCCACTTTTTCTACATCCCCCTATGGCATGTCTTTAAAGCAAGAATGATATTTTGAAGTTGCAAAACTGCAACAGGCATTCACTTGAACAAAACCAGCACTAACATAATCATATGCCAACAGCGAAAGCTACAGGCTGGCCCGTACAAAGATGCCGTTTCACAGGGGTGAATACAGCAGAGAATACAGCCTTGCTCTCACTCAAGGGACTGGAGCAGCAATTGCTCCAGAAGGGCTTGTGACATGCCACTGAAGCATTTCAGTGGTAGCAGATGCAATGTTGCTCTGTTCTTTATTTTAAATCATTAGGAAAGGTGGAAAACAAGGGGAAAAAATTGACACTTACGTTTAACAGGTTCATTTTTAAATGCTGGAGGCTTCATTTGGCTGGATCCTGTGAGACTGGAGCTATCCAGTGTCATGCAGCCAAGTGTGGTGATGCCGAACTACAAACTGACCTCATATCCAGTAAGATGCTGAATCACAAGGTCATGAGAAGATGACAGGCCCCTGCATCACACGGTTCACAAGTTGCAGCACTCATACCTTCCAAACTAGTCGGTTCACCCTGCTCAATAAAGATGTGAAAGGTGACTTCAATGGTGGCAGGCTCATCCCTTCCTACACCGCCAAGAACCTCCTTAGATCAAAGACAGAGTTTTGCCAGTAATTCCCACTAGCGCTGGGATTCTGCAATCGCATATCCTCCATAAACACAATTGGCATTTTCTGACAGTGGCACTCAAAAAAAATTTAATTCAGACTTCTGCACGGATTTGGTGCCAAATGAAAGCAAACTTTGATATGGCAGTAAACAGCTCCATCAGAATCTCCCCCAGGAGGGAAAGCAGTGGAAATCACATGAAGGGGAAAAAAAGGCAAACAATAGGATAGCATGAACTCCTTTTAAATTATTATAAAATGTATTGCCTTATGTATCGTTTCTTGGAAACACCTAAAATTTTCCAAAGACATTCAGCCTAAGGCAGTGAATAGGAGAGGAAGAGAGAAGCATCTGTAGGCAACTATAAGCAGGGATTTGTTATGGGAAGCAGAAACCTAACAGCTCATCCAGGCCCCTGGGAACTAGTCTTACTGGAAAAAGGTGAAGGAACATGGTGCATTGTACTCAGCAAAAACTGCTAGACACGGGGACTGCAGCAGCTGAAAAACATGCTTTTCTGTATGTCAGTCAAGCGCAGATACAGCTTTTGTCCACGAATGTGCAGCAGTCAGATAATTAATGTGCACTTACAACATGAGTGAAGTCTTTACTATCATGAGTTTATAGCGGCCACATTACTCATGGCTGAGATAAACAGCCAGGATTGCTGGTCATGCCACGTGAGACACAGAAGTTCGGTTTAGTCAAGATTACTTCCTTTACAGAAGCCACAAGGACTTAACCTAGGTGACAGCACAGTCTGACAGCAGAGAAAAGTCATGGATGACAAATGCCAAGGAACGTACACTGGAAGAGATCATTTAACTTCCCGATGTGCTTTTCTGGATCCCCATGGGCCAAGGAAAATACCCAGGCATTGCATGGCAAAAATTAAAAAGCACGGAAAAGGCAAGGGTAGAAAGCAATCTTGCAGGTGATACACACCACCACAAGAGGCACTCACTGTGTACCCCCAGCTTACACATTATGTTCAGGACTGTTCATTCTAGCTCAGGCAGGAGAGAAAGCTAGAGCCAGCATGTGTTTAGGAACCAGTGACAGAAGAGATCCATTTAGCTCACCAATCCATACGAAAAGTATATATAAGAGAAGCATCTTTCAGTTTGGTTTCCTAAGGAAGCAGGGTTTGTGCCACCATCCTGCCTATCTGCCAGTTATTCTCCTTCTCTCTCTTTCTTTTGAACTGTACAGGTAACTTCAACTAGATGTGACAAAGCAGTAGTGTCCTTAAAGATGCAGTTCCTGAACTGTTTTTCAACACTGGACAGGAAACAGGCCCAAACTCACCTTCCTGCTAAGGAAGAAGCAGGCAAAACTCGGTCCCTCATCCCTTCTAGGAGGCCAGTGCCACCACATGGGTCTCTCCAAATTAGCCACAGAATAAGTGGTTAGTGTGAGATGGATCTGAAAACACTAGGAAGGAGAGGGGGAAAGCAGGAAGGAGGAATACGAGGCATCACACAACTTTATAAGCAGTCTCATTGGTTTTGGTGCTCACAGGACCTCCTCTTCAGTACACAGGTAATAGAGATGTATAAAACAATGAGTGATACACAACAGATAAATAGGGACTTCCCCTTTTCTCTTGTATTTGGAGAGAGAATTAGAAAGGAACAATCAATGATGTTCACAAGCAACGTCTTCAGGAGGAAATGCGTAAATGAGAGGAACTCTCAGCCAGCAAAAGATAGCAAAAGGTGGGTAATAATGTCAAAAGTCCCCCAAGTCTCATTGATTCCTAACGACTCTTGAGCTCAAATTCCTGGCAAAGATTTGGGTGTTCTGGTGAATTCTATCTCAAGAGCACAAGGGGAGTTTTACAAGTTACCTGTACGCAAACAGAGAGCAGGGGTGCCTCAGCCACTGGAGAGCTTGCCTATCCCCTTTCTCAGCACCCTGGAACCTGCTTTGCTTGGGAACCAGCTCTGCTTATCTCGTGCTGCATTGCGACTGTGGGCTGAAACTCCAATGTCGACAAGGAAAACAGAAAGAGACATTCTTTCAATCAGGTAACAATTTGGTAGTAGAGCAAATTCAAGCAGCCTCAGGGACCTTTATTTCTGTTATGTTGCAGGCCTGGACCACTACAGTCCAGTTTATGGGCTGTGACAAGCCTGGTCTGAACAACAGGTCATCTGAAGAAAAGAT